CCAGGTCTGAAAACATCTTTGAACGGTCACTTTGTGAAGGATGGCTCGCCCCACGCCCTGCCCCTGTTCCCTGGAGGTAATACCACTGAAATGATCATGAAATATGGATTCAATACATGAACACAACGTGATAGTAGTAGTAGTAGTAGTATTGTATTGCGTGGCTAATTCAATGAGCCACGTGTTTGTGTGAAGAGCTAGCATTAGCATTAGCATGTGCGCTGGGGCCTTGTATGAAAGTGCTTCATTACAGATGTGGACTTTTCTCTTTTCGTTTGATAACATGTAAAAACAGCAGCTGATATTGGCACATGTTGATCAGAAAGGCTGTACAGTTGTGTTTGTGGCGTCAACATGTATCAGCATCATACAAGTTCATGAGCAGACCCAGTCACATAGTTGACATGTAATCATTGAGGCACATTAGACATTGCTGGAGATGCTGTACACTGGTTTATCTGAGTGTTTCTCATTGATGGTGGTAAGAGTGGTGCACTGTAGTGCTGCAGAAGGCACACTGAGCTCACTGGGATCCGCTAATACTACACCAAGTCTAGATAATGTACCATAATAGTCCACTCAAATACTTAGGACTTGAGGGCTAGAAAAAGCAAAGAAACTGTCCTTCTGATCCTGACTCCACTGGTGCTTTCCTTCTCTTTTGTCTTCATGATGATGTGGACTGCTGTGTTTGACTCTGACTTTGACAAAACAACAACACTTTAGTGTGTGAGGAAGTTGTTGATGTTGTCAATATGTTGCAGCGGCTCGGGACCCCCTGGACGCTCCGGAGGACCCTCTCCCTGACTACTCGTCAGACGAGGAGGACGCAGGTGAGTTGCAGGTAGGTAGGGCTTTTCTCCTCATGCGTGGCCGGGACTTGCACGAGTCTTCTGATGAAGAGGATGAAGAGGAGGAGGACTGGGACGACGCAGACTCTGGCTACAACAGTCTCTCTGAGGAGGACGTCAGCGAAGAGGAAGATGAGGACAGTGAAGAGGACGACCAGCGTCTTCCTCCAGAGGACTTCTGGGATCCTCCTGCTCCAGCTGTGGGGGTTCCTCAGCAGCGAGCAGTGAGCCCTCCTCCTGCGCCCTGTCCCGTCTTTGAAGAGAAGCGTCGTCCAGGGAGGTCCAGGCGCCACAGGGATGAAGATGAAGAGGAAGAGCCCATCTCCAAGAGGCCACGCTTCTCCTGCTCTGAGGACATCGAGGAGGAGCCCACCCCCTCCACCTCTGCTGGGACGTCCGGGGGATTCGTCCACTACTTCCAGCAGCTCCACCTGCTCCAAGACTCAGACTCAGACTGAAGCTCAGACTGAGACTGGAGACAACAGGTCCTGGAGGAAGAGGAGGAGAGAAGACCACGCCTGTTTCTACAGCACTTTGACACCAGAGGAGGTCACAAAGTGCTTCACATGGGACACACGCTCCACCATCAGCAGCCCATTTCTCAGCTGAACATTCATTTCTTTCTTGATTTATTTATTGGGGCAAAATGTTGCCTTTTACCTTAAGCCAAAAACAAAAAAAAACAAAAAAAACATTTCCCTAGAACAAGGGTTTTCAGCCTTTTGACAGATATATGTGTATCAAACATAAAGCTTGTGTTCATTCATCAGAACACAAAAGGATAGATGATGTAATAAGGATATATTCTATCATAGTGAGTAGTTTCAGTGATGAAAGACACAGAGAAAGCCTTTCAGAGACACTTTGAAAGGCCTGGAGAGCCACTGGTTGCTCCGCACTATAGGTTTAAGACCCTTGTTCTAGGATCAGTCATAGTTTGTTTCAAAAGAGGAGAAGGCAAAGAAAACTATGATGTAGGATTTCCACAGATTGAACATGAGCAGTAAGTCCACAGATGATCCTCATGTGAGCAGAGGTCTCACTCTGTCCTCCATAGTACTCATTACACACGCATTTTTAAATCAAAGGTCAGGAAAACTATGGAGGAACGTATTAGACACAGATCAACTTTGACAAAAATCACTCAATGACACAATGACTTGATAGTATTTGAGAATGGATCAAATAAGAGCTTAAGCTGACTATAGTGTGGTTTCCTGCATAGTGCGCCTGGCCTTGTGTTCACTCTAGAGCAGGGATTCCCAAGATGTGGCCCGTGGGTCACATTGGTCAGTCTGAGGGTCTAATATGGCCTTTGAAGGGTTCAGGACATTGGTCCAAACCAGTCTGAATCCTACAAAGAGACAATCATTAAGGACAGTTTATGTCTTTCCTTTTGGTGCAACACATAATTATCTTTGGCCCTCTGCGCACCAATATAGTTTTAGCCGCAGATTGAACGTTTGGCCGCCCCTGCTCTAGAGCTGAGGAGGATCAGCAGGAGAGGAGGTGGAGGACCATCTACAGGGCTGGTGCTGTGATCCCTCCTCCTTCCAATGATTCTGCTTTATCCATTGCTGGGTGGCGAGGAACGCCCAGACTTCCCTCTCCACACACACTTCCTCCAGCTCATCCGGGGGAAATCCGAGGCCTTCCCAGGCCAGCTGAGAGACATAGGCCCTACAGTGTGTCCTGGGTCTTCCCCTCGGTCTCCTCCCAGTGGGACAGTCCAGGAGGCCTTTGAAACAGATGAGCCACTTCAACTGGCTCCTCTTGACATGGAGAAGCAGCGGCTCTACTCTGAGCTCCTCCGAACGAGTGACTGAGCTCCTCGCACTCTCTTGGGGAGGGACGCAGAGGAAACTCATTTCCACCACCTGTATCTGTGATCTCGTCCCCTCTGTCATTACCCAAAGCTCATGACCAAAGGTTGTTCACGAGAGGCTCACTCGTGAACAAGACCCCAAGATTCTTGAACTCCTCCACTGGAGGAAGGACCTCTGCACCTGGAGAGGGCGAGGCGCCTTTTTTTGGTCGAGCCCCATGGCCTCAGATTTGGAGCTGATCTTTATCCCAGCCGCTTCACACTCTGCGGCAAACCGTCCCAGTGCATGTTGAAGGTCCTGGTTTGTTGGAACCAGCAGGACAACATTGTCTGCAAACAGCAGAGATGAACTCCTGTGGTCTCCAAACTATGGTCCCCAAATATGTTATTTTATTTATTCTATTTTATTTTTTTAATTCATTTGATTTCATTTTGGTTTGTCATGGACATTGTGGTCAGACATATTTACCAAACTAAGCTGATGTTATCCATGCAGACTATAACTAAAAGGCAAATGCACTTTTACAACATTCTGTCCCTGTGGGCTTTTCTACACTCACTTTAAAACCTTCATGAAAACTCACCAAACTCCAGATTTGTGAAATCTTTATTTAGAATATTAAAGCTTGGATATATAACTTTAAAGCTGGGGTACGCAACATATGAAACTCTATAATAAATCCAAAGCAAACAAGTTTGCTTCTATCATTAGTTTTCTCAATGTACTCCTGACCTCTGACTCCTCAGCCAATCAGCTCTCAACCCAAAGAATCAAAGAGTGACTCAATTCAAATCAATGTGTTTACATCAAAAGTAACTGCTTACTATCATTGAATAAATAATTATAAACTAATTATTTATGAAATGATAGACCCAGAAAATGGACATAGGGTTTGAAGATGGAAGAATTATTTAAAGTGCATTGACAACAGGGAATAGACTCAGCTCTGGTTCGGTTCTGGTTCAGTCCCGGCTTAGTCCCGGCTCATACTTGGCTCAGTCTTGGCTGAGCCCCGGTCCCAGGTCTCTTACATAACCCCAGTGGACAGATCTTAAGCTGATCTCATTACCCGCTGGTTTATTTCTGTTTGCCTTTTGACTCTCAGAGCTGTTTCACTGCAGACTCCATCTACTCCTCCAGCCTGCAGCCGATTCCACGGAGAAAAATACCCAAAACTCCACCAAAATCTCCTCTAAAAACTCCACAGAGAACAGAAGAAAGCCTCAAGACCTTTGCACACAACGGCTTAAGAAGAACCGCATCTTGAAGACCAACTCCCGGACGTCCAGAGAACTAGCATCACGGATCAACTATGGAGACCAACGATTATTTGCAAAAACAGCTGCAAAAGTGTGGAAAACCAGACGCCATTTTGGAAAGCGGATTTTAAAAACACTTTTTTTGAGATATTTGTAAAACGGTGACGTCGTCTTAGGACTATAATGTAAGATACACCAAAACGAAGCAAAATTTTATATCTATTCTGAGCTTAAGTTTTGAGTTTGGTGAAGAAATTTGACATATATGTGCGCTGAGATCAAGACGCTTTAGGATCACCGCGTTTAACCAACAAATCCCCGGAATCCACTTAAAACTGAACTAGGTCGAGTCACAGGTGCCATATCTGCACAGACCAAAGAACCCCGGCAAAAACCAGCAACCCTCTCTACAAGTGCGCTCAAAACAAAGCAGTGAGATTAGCCCGATATTAGCCTGATATTAGCTTTATATCAGCCTGATATTAGCCTGATATTAGCTTTATATCAGCCTGATATTAGCTTGATATTAGCATGTTTACGGCCCATGGATTGAAAGAAAAGTGCAACCAAAACTTACCCTAAAACAAACCACTTTCATGCGACAAAATGAATGTGACAGGGAAACGGAAAATATTGGATAACTCATGATTCAACAAAGACTGTTGATGCTAATGCTTAGCTAGCACAGAACAAAAGGATTTTCGATGACGACGCTAACAGGAGCTAGCTGAACCAGTGCCACTGAACAGGATTCATTCTATCTTTCTCTCAATTGTGGAGTATAATTGTTTTCATCATTAAGGGTTAGGGTTAAGGTTAGACGTTTTAAGATAGGTTTTTTGTATTATTGTGCAACAACTGCATATGCATTACAAGTTCAAGTGTGCTTGTTCTACTCTTACCGTAAAACTACTAATACTACTAAAACGACTCTAACCCGCTACTAGTCAATTTCTCTGAGGACTTAAAAGTACTACTACCATAACTTCAGTACTACTACCACTGCTAGGCGGCGTCGCAAGCAGCTGCAGTCCCCTGGGTGCCAGACAGGGGGCGCCGCAGACATGGGGAGCAACCACTCAAACATTGATGAAATCTTGGCGGAGGACATGCACCACTGGTACAACAAGTTCATGAAGGAGAGTCCGTCTGGTCTCATCACGCTGTTCGAGCTCAAGGCCATTCTGGGTCTTCAGGGCCTGAACCCAGACGCCGCCAGCTACGTAGAGCAGATCTTCTGCACCTTCGACATGGACGGGGTGAGTACTACTACTACTACTACTGCAGATAATACTGAAGTACCACTACAACTACTCCAGATCATCCTGGAGCACTACTACTACCACAGATAGTACTACTACTTGAAGATAGTACTGCAGTACTACTACTAATACTACTACTACTGCAGATAATTCTGCAGCACTACTACTACTACTACCATAGATAGTACTGCAGTACTACTAGTACTACTGCTGCAGATAATACTCCAATACTACTACTGCTACTCCAGATACTTATGCAGTACTAATACTACTTCAAACTAAAGCTATGTGGAGCAGGTTTTCCTTCGACACAGATGGGTTGAGTACTATAGTACTACTATTACTACTACCACAGATAGTACTGCAGTACTGTTGGATTACGCCTCCAGACAGTGCCTTTCTGTGGGAGTTACGTGTTCTCCTGATGTCTGCATAGATTACCTCCAGGTGCTATCGTTTCCCCTACCACTAAAACATGTAGAATAGTCTGAATGTGAATGTGACCAATCAGAGCAGCAGTAGCTGATCAGCTCTGACCAATCAGAGCAGCAGTAGCTGATCAGCTCTGACCAATCAGAGCAGCAGTAGCTGGGGGGATTAGCCCAAATTCAGTAGTTAACCTTGATCAGGGTCGAGAGGTTTGAGCGACCAGTGACTGATGCAGATCTGCTGCTGCTGTTGCTACTACTGTTACACCAATGCACTGACCATACTAGTGTCTGCTTCAGTCCTAGTTCAGATCTGGTTCAATCCTTGTTCAATCATAGTTCAGTCCTGGTTCGGTCCTTGTTCAGTCCTAGTTGAGTCGGTTCAGTCCTAAATGTATAAAGTTAAAGCTGTCTTCCTATTTTTAAGGTTCTTTTAATGAGACAAAAAGCTAGTACTTGCTTAATGTGCTTAATTACATGTTTCGGCGGTAGACTTCTGCCTTCGGTGACACTTGGTGGTGGCGTCTCTGAGGCGATTGAAATCAGGAACAGGGCGCACAGACCTTCAGCAGAGATGAGGGGCCTTACACCTTGGCTCACACTCGGGATTCCCTTCTCCAGACTGCATCCCCTCAGTCGCAGTCTGTCTGACGGAGCTGTGAGATCTGTCAGAGCTTTCTTTATTTTTTTGTCTTTAAAAGAAACTCTAAGCCGGGTTCAGTCCTAGTTCAGATCTGGTTCAGATTTGATTCAGACCTAGTTGAGACCTGGGCCAGACCTGGTTCAGTCCTGGGTTGGTGTCCTGATTGAACTTGGACCGATCCCAGATCTAAAACAGTTTAATCTCCTGATGGAGCTCATGTCCTCCACTTAAGTTCACCTCTTCTTCACTGTTCTGTCTCTGAGGCTGAGGAGGCGGGTTTTAACACCTGTGTCAAACAATTATTCATACTAAATTCTAAAGTTCTAAAATATCATTTACTTTCTTGGAACATTTGGATACAAGTGTGTTATGGATGTGTACACTTTAATACGGTTTACCTTTCCTTGATCTTTCGTAGATTCTAGTTGTGGATTTGTAAACTCCAACATGACAGTGACCTTTATTTATTAGTCATAAAAACAACTTTTGGGTGTCTCTTTCTCTCTGGTCTGCCTCTGGGCTCTCTCTGGTGTCTCTGTGGTCTCTGTAGTCTCTCTGGTTTCCCTCTGGTCTCTCTCTAGTTTCCCTCTGGTTTCTGTCTGGTTTCCCTCTGGTCTCTCTCTGGTCTCCTTCTGGTTTCTGTCTGGTTTCCCTCTGGTCTCTCTCTGGTCTCCTTCTGGTTTCTGTCTGGTGCCTCACATGGTCCCTTTGACACGGCTCTTGTCACACTTGTCTTGGTCTCCTGAGTCTTGGTCTTCCACTTTCTCAAGAGTTTGATGGTTTGATCTTCGGTGTGCTAGAAGTGTGAGGAGATGAAACCTGGACTGGTCTAGCTCACACTGGTCTGGCTCAGACCAGGGGCTCACCCGGTTTGGACTCTTGTATAAGTATCTTAGATCTGACCTTTGGAAAGAACATTAGGATTTGGCTGCAACACAATTTGGAAACTCTTCAGCAGAGAGAGACCAGAGAGAGACCAGAGAGAGACCAGAGAGAGACCAGAGAGAGACCAGAGAGAGACAAGAGAGAGACCAGAGAGAGACCAGAGAGAGACCAGAGAGAGACCAGAGAGAGACCAGAGAGAGACAAGAGAGAGACCAGAGAGAGACCAGAGAGAGACCAGAGAGAGACCAGAGAGAGACCAGAGAGAGACAAGAGAGAGACAAGAGAGAGACCAGAGAGAGACAAGAGAGAGACCAGAGAGAGACCAGAGAGAGACCAGAGAGAGACCAGAGAGAGACCAGAGAGAGACCAGAGAGAGACCAGAGAGAGACAAGAGAGAGACAAGAGAGAGACAAGAGAGAGACCAGAGAGAGACAAGAGAGAGACAAGAGAGAGACCAGAGAGAGACCAGAGAGAGACCAGAGAGAGACCAGAGAGAGACCAGAGAGAGACCAGAGAGAGACCAGAGAGAGACCAGAGAGAGACCAGAGAGAGACCAGAGAGAGACCAGAGAGAGTCCAGAGAGAGACCAGAGAGAGTCCAGAGAGAGACCAGAGAGAGACCAGAGAGAGACCAGAGAGAGACCAGAGAGAGACCAGAGAGAGACCAGAGAGAGACCAGAGAGAGACCAGAGAGAGACCAGAGAGAGACCAGAGAGAGACCAGAGAGAGACCAGAGAGAGACCAGAGAGAGACCAGAGAGAGTTTCTAGTAGGAGTGTGACGATATTTTATCGATATTGTGATGTATCGTGATACTTTCTCACACGATCAATTATCAACATGTTTTTGCCAAGCATCGATTTAAAAAAATAAAATAATTATATATATATATATGTATATATATATTTTTTTTATAATTAAAAAAATAAAATTAGTATCAATACTTAATATATGGCTACATTACGTATCTCCATTCCATTTATCATGAAATAAAGTGTATTTTTTCACTTAACATTTTTCTTTTATTTATGCCAATATGTCCTGTATTTGAATCCAGAGTTGAGAATTAGTTTAATAACGTAAACTTATAACTATCTTGTGTTTATTCAGATTGCTTTACTAAAAGATTTAAACAGTATATTTCTGACCAATGTATTGATAATTGTCATATAATCGTTATCGTGAGTTTTGCATCGCGTATCGTATCGTGAGGATCCCTGAGGTTCCCACCCCTAGTTTCTAGGGATATTTCTTGGTAACCATGGCTTCCAGCAGCACTCTGACCAATCACTGTCAGTTAGAACACTTTAGTACCAGCGTGGCCTGGATAGAACCAGAACCAAGAGGGACTAAAGAAGGACCTGGTACTTGTTAAATGGGACCAGTGGAAACACTCGTAATCGGGGCAGAGGAGACCACTCTTCCACCTGTGGTTCTAACGTGCTCCTCTTCCTCCTGTGCTCCTCTTTCGCCTCTGCTCCTCCTCTTCCTCCTTCCTCTCTCAGGACGGCTACATTGACTTTGTGGAGTACATCGCTGCCATCAGTCTGCTGCTCAAAGGGGAAATAAACCAGAAGCTGAAGTGGTATTTCAAACTGTTCGACCAGGACGGCAACGGCAAGATCGACCGCGACGAGCTGGAGACCATCTTCTCTGTGAGTCCCATTCTCTGCACCATAGACATGTACTGAGCAAGTGTGACATCACCATAGTGGGACATCACCATAGTGTGACATCACCATACTGTGACATCGCCATCATGTGATGCCTTAATGCGGAAGAAGCCGATTTGAACATAAGCTAGCTGGAGCCAATTTCCTTGTATGGGCATTTGTCCAATGGCCGTAACAGGAGCAGGAGTGTTGCTGAGACGGTCGCTAAGGCGAGCTGGGCTAGACTTCTGAGTTCTTGTGTATCCCCAAGAACAGATCTGAGAATCCAAAAGCTCAAAGACAGGAAATGTGATAATAACAAACACATCGGTGGCTGTAGATCCAGAACTGAGGCAGTAGATCCAGGACTGAGGCTGTAGATCCAGGACTGAGTCTGTAGACCCAGGACTGAGGCTGTAGACCCAGGACTGAGGCAGTAGATCCAGGACTGAGGCAGTAGATCCAGGACTGAGGCTGTAGATCCAGGACTGAGGCAGTAGATCCAGGACTGAGGCTGTAGACCCAGGACTGAGGCAGTAGATCCAGGACTGAGTCTGCAGACCCAGGACTGAGGCAGTAGATCCAGGACTGAGTCTGCAGACCCAGGACTGAGGCAGTAGATCCAGGACTGAGTCTGCAGACCCAGGACTGAGGCAGTAGATCCAGGACTGAGTCTGCAGACCCAGGACTGAGGCAGTAGATCTAGGACTGAGAATGTGAGGTGCAAGACTGAACCCCCACTCAACCCCCTCTGGGTTGCACTGCACAAGTTTGGGCCAGGGGCGACCAAATCACAGGTGCAGGTTCAGAGGTCCCATCATCCCCTCATGAAAAAGACAACGAAACAGCGGCTGAATAGCAATGAACAGACAACAGCTGAAGTCATAATGATGACAGATAGTGCTCAAGTGACCAAACTTCTTCCAGCAGCGGTCTCCAAATGTAGCGTCACTCAGGCCTGTGTTTTTGGACTTAAGGTTAAGTTGTTTTAGTCCTGTCCTTGAATGTAGAGACTGTGACTGCTTCTTTGACGTGGATGAGGAGCTGATTCCACAGTATGGAAGAGTGGAGCTGCACACTCTGCCTCCGACTGCACTTTTTAACTCTTTAGGACCAGCAGAAGTATGGTGTTTTGTGAGCGCAGTAAGAGAGTTTGGTTGATATGATACTAACTTGTCTTGGAGGTAGAAGGGAGTCACACCATTTCTGGCCTTGAATGTCAGAAGAAGTATTTGTACTGTATTTACGGTACTCCTTGGGAAGCCAGTGGAGTGATTTTAACACTGCAGTTATGTGGTTCCTCCTTTTTTGCATCAGGATGCAAACATTAACCTCATATTAATCTTTTTACAGGCAATCCAGGACATCACACGCAACAAAAACATCGACCCTGAGGACATCGTTTCGCTCATATTTGAGAAAGTTGACGTCCACGGAGAAGGTACATACTACAGTCCCCCTGAGGCCCGACTGCACGTTCCAACACTGTTCCTCCTCACAAACAGAACTGTAGCTGTTTCTACACTGATGCCCCACCCATTCAGTCTTAATCTTTTCACGTATTTAAGATGGAGCGAGGCAAGCCCCAGTGAGTCATCCCAGAAAATCCCTTTTATTCTTTCAGCCCACTTCCCCTGATACAGATGAGAGTGCATGGTCATATGGTCCAGAGAGAGAGACCAGAAAGAAACCAGGGAGAGGCCAAAGAGAGATCAGAGAGACCAAAGAGAGACAGAGATATATCAGAGAGATACAAGAGAGAGACCAGATAGAGAGACCAGAGAGAGACCAAAGAGAAAGAGAGACAGAGAGATACAAGAGAGAGAGGCCAGAGAGATACCAATGAGAGACGCCACCCATTTCCTCAGGTCCTCAGGAAATGGGTGTTTAGTCTGGTGTGCTCCTGCAGCCACACAGCCCTTTGAGGACCAGTTTGACCCGTTTCTAAAGCTAATGTTCTCAAGAAAAAAACATCGAACCCGAAACACGATTATCAATAGTTGATACTAGAGCCCGCTTTGTGCTTACGCCTGTTTGCTGCCTTTAGGCGAGCTGACGTTAGAGGAGTTCATCGACGGAGCCAAGGACCATCCAGACATCATGGAGATCCTCCGGAACCTCATGGACCTGACCCCAGTCCTGGTCATCATCATCAACGGGAGAAACTGACGAGAGATGGACCAGGACGGGAGCAGGACCCCATGGACCTGACCCCAGTCTTTATCATCAAAGAAATAAACTGCTGAGAGAAGAGGTCTGGACCAGGACTAAAACAGGACCAGACCTGGCACTGCATTGACAAAATGATCGAAAACTTCCCCAGAACGTTTCCAGATTTATTCCAAAACTGGATTTGTTGGAACAGCCAACACTCAACACCAAACTTGGACCAGAACTGGAAAAAACCTGTGGATCTTTAGAATAATCTTTTGCTTGTCTCATATGCCAAGGTCTTTCTCAAAACTGGACAGAACTTGGCCCAAATCTCTCCCAAAGATGGGTCAAAAGTTAACCAGAACTGAGCTATATGACAATGGTCACAACAAGAGAACTGGGTCTAAACTGTACCACAACTGGACCAGTACTGGACCAGAACTACGGCCAAAGCTAAGTCAAAACTTGAACTGGAGAAATCTGGAGAAGACTTTGACTTGTGTAATTTGCCAAAGTCTTAATTGAATCTTGAGGTAAAACTGGACAAATCTTGACAGAAATATCCCCCAGTGATGGACCAAAAGTGGACTGGATCTGGACTGCCTCTAAGACCTGAGCTTGAACCTGAACTGGAGACAAACTAGGCCTGAACAACAGATCTTTAGAGGAATCTCCTCGTTAATTGTCATTGTCTTCAGAACTGGGTACGACATGATCTAAAAGTCTTCCAGAAGTGGACTTTGACTCCGAAAGATCCTGGATCAGAGTTGGACTGGGAACTGGATTAAAGAATTATTATACTCCTACGTTGTCTCCCATAGAAGGAATTCATGTTGGGACAGGGGTTCACATGCTGTTCACCACATACAGTATATGAACAGAAGAAAATAGACACAAGCAAGAGCCCCATCAGAGACATCTAGGACCATAAAAAACAGGGCATCAACAAAGAGAGAATCCCGCAATCTTGCTCTTCAGAAAACCTAAAGTGCAATATTTCGTCGCACTTGAGTTGGACACTTCTGTTACTCGACACATTAAAGTAGACGTATTCTGCAAAATTGTCTGTTTCTCTCGTTTCCCAACACTGTCCATTGTCAGTCACAGACCTGGAGTTGTGTTTAGATCCATCCATGCTGATATCAGAGACTGTAGGTAAAGTAAAGCTCCTGTCTCAGTCCTGTATTAGTATGTCATTGTCATTTATGCCTTTAAAATAAAAGTAGAGAGACCAGAGGCATACCAGCGAGAGAGAGAGAGACCAAAGAGACCAGAGTAAGAGCAAAGAGAGAGAGAGAGACCAGAGGAAGAGCAAAGAGAGAGAGAGAGACCAGAGGGAGACCAGAGAGAGAGAGAGAGAGAGACCAGAGGAAGAGCAAAGAGAGAGAGAGAGACCAGAGGAAGAGCAAAGAGAGACCAGAGACAGAGAGAGAGAGACCAGAGGAAGAGCAAAGAGAGACCAGAGAGAGAGAGACCAGAGGAACAGCAAAGAGAGACCAGAGACAGAGAGAGAGAGACCAGAGGAAGAGCAAAGAGAGACCAGAGAGAGAGAGACCAGAGGAACAGCAAAGAGAGACCAGAGAGAGAGAGACCAGAGGAAGAGCAAAGAGAGACCAGAGAGAGCGAGAGAGACCAGAGGAAGAGCAAAGAGACCAGAGGGAGACCAGAGAGACCAGAGGAAGAGCAAAGAGATACCAGAGAGACCAGAGGAAGAGCAAAGAGAGACCAGAGAGAGACCAGAGACCAGAGGAACAGCAAAGAAAGACCAGAGAGAGAGAGAGACCAGAGAGAGACCAGAGAGAGACCAGAGGGAGGCCAGAGGAAGAGCAAAGAGAGACCAGAGAGAGAGAGACCAGAGGAAGAGCAAAGAGAGATCAGATAGAGAGAGGGAGAGACCAGAGAGAGACCAGAGGGAGACCAGAGGAAGAGCAAAGAGAGACCAGAGAGAGAGAGAGACCAGAGGAAGACCAGAAAAGGGAACACACAGAGACCGGTGTGAGAGAGATGAGAGACTAGAGAGACACGGAAAAGAGAACAGAGAGAGACCAGAGAGAGATTAGAGACTAGAGAAACCAGAGAGAGACCAGAAACATGTTATACCAGCGCAAGGGCGTAGGTTTGCGTGGGGACCATGGGGACATGTCCCCACCAATATTTGGTGAGGACTAAAAAGTCCCCACCAAAATGACATGATGTCCCGTGACCCGGACGGTCCGGGACACATGTCTTCCGTTTGTGCACACGTCGCGCCTCCTCCTCGCCTCCAGAGCAACAGCAGCAGCAGCAGCACGTGACCCGTTCCGTTCTCTGCAGTGATTGGCTGTCTTCTTCAGCGCCAAACTGAAGCACTGAGCAACTGTTTAATTTTTAAAAGTTAGCCAGCGTGAAGCAAGTGTTTTTTTTATTCCCTGAGCGTTGTAGCACGTGAGTAATCAGAGGAAAGTACTGTAGATCTATTACCATTCAAAGTACTTACGTTATTTCTAATCTGTCAGCGCACTGTTTAATGTTCCGAGGAGCTCACACGGCACAGAGACAGAACAGAACTGGCTCCAATAAAGAAACAGGTTGGTTGAAAGGCTGAAAAAATACTTATTGTGCTCTTACTATCCAAAATGTATAAGTGGGTGTGTTATGTGAATCAGGATAAACTAGTGATGAAAATATTCCACGGATCCACGATTTACAACCTTTATCTGCTGATAATGTAATTTCTGTGAAATGTGTGACAGCGGGCACTTGCTGTTATTTGCTCTAAGCACATTCAAGAGATGCACTCGAATGTGCACGTCCTGGTGCACAATGACAGCCGCGGCGCTCAGTGAAAGCACAGCTCTAACATGGTACCGAGCTCGGACCATATGCAGACAGAACCATGTTGCAAGTGCGGGTCTCCCTCGTATCTCCCGCGTTTCTCCCCTGTGTCTCTGACATGTCTCTCCCCTGACTCTTCCCAAAGCGCAACCAGCGCTCCCGAAATTAAAGCTCGGATACCTAAATTTTCCATTGCGTTAACGATGCATGCTGGTTGTGCGCAAAACACACCACAACAGGTCATTTAAGTTTTTATTTTGCATACTTGAGAGCCCTGTGAGTCATTACTTGCCTTTTTGGGTAGAGAGTGGAATAAAAAAAAAGAAAATATAGAAAAATCCACACTGTTACTTATTGCCAAACTCTTGTTAACTCATTGTATTGAGAAATACTATGTAACTTTTGACATTGGCCAAGTTATATAAATGATTCTGCAGTTCATGTATATGAATGTCTGTTTTTGATTGTCTATACCTTCTTATATAATTTAGAAAAAATGCCGCCTCCACAAATAAGATAAAAGATATCAGGAGCTTTTTTAACAGTTGGAAAGTAAGTAAGAGAAAGCACAAGTAATAGCAAATTATGAATTGTGATGATTAATCTTCTGTTAACATACATAACTGCTTCTCATTCAGTCTACAGCTGAGTTTAGTATAGAAGGCAACACACTATTGCAAATATAGTGTGTGATTACACAACAAATTCTGGGGGAGAAACTCTGGACCCCGTGTCAATGGGTGTAGACTCAGGTCGTAGTGAATGTCCCCACCAAGATTGGAACCAAACCTACACCATTGTACCAGCGGTTATATGATGCTGTTGGAGTTTACACGCAGCGAACGAGAAAAAACACGATTGCAAACCAATGTTGTCGTTATGTTGTCGTTGGTTGATTTTGGCCCAAACCTCTGTGCCCGGCTTAGATTGGTCTGATTCTGGGAGTTTTTTGAAACATGGACACAGGAGACTGGAACCTCTCTGCTTTGGGAGAAGGGCATTCATATTTCTTCGTCTTGAACAAGTCAGCGATGCAACGGAAGGAGGAAGAGCTGGTCGGTGCACGTACAGTAAGTGGGTAAGACCACACACACGTCCGGACAGTAAAGGTTCTGTCTCCCCGCTAGATGAGTAAACTAGATCTTACTTTTATCTAGACATTCAGAGGTGTTTCACTTTTTCTAGCTGAGATATGTTACTATAAAACGGGTATAGCTTTCAGACCACAACAATAGAACTCTGGAATAAAAAAAAACATGTCTCGCTCCTGGTTCTTGGTCTCTCCCTGGTCTATCTCTGGTCTCACTCTGGTCTCTCTGATCTCTCTCTGATCTCCCTCTGATTTCCCTCTGATCTCTCTGGTCTCTCTCTGGTCTCTCTCCGGTCTCGCTCTGGTCTCTCTCTGGTCTCTCTCCGGTCTCGCTCTGGTCTCTCTCTGGTCTCTCTCCGGTCTCGCTCTGGTCTCTCTCTGGTCTCTCTCCGGTCTCGCTCTGGTCTCTCTCTGGTCTCTCTCCGGTCTCGCTCTGGTCTCTCTGGTCTCACTCGTCTCACTCTGGTCTCTCTCAGGTCTCTCTCTGGTCTCTCTCTGGTCTCTCTCTGGTCTCTCTCTGGTCTCACTCTGGTCTCACTCTGGTCTCTCTCTGGTCTCACTCTGGTCTCACTCTGGTCTCTCTCTGGTCTCTCTCGTCTCTCTCCCTCATCTCTCTGGTCTCTCTCTGGTCTCTCTCTGGTCTCTCTCTCTGGTCTCACTCTGGTCTCTCTCTGGTCTCACTCTGGTCTCACTCTGGTCTCTCTCTGGTCTCTCTCGTCTCTCTCCCTCATCTCTCTGGTCTCTCTCTGGTCTCTCTCTGGTCTCTCTCTCTGGTCTCTCTCTGGTCTCTCTCTGGTCTCTCTCTCTGGTCTCTCTCTGGTCTCTCTCTGGTCTCACTCTGGTCTCACTCTGGTCTCACTCTGGTCTCTCTCTGGTCTCTCTCTGGTCTCTCTCTCTGGTCTCTCTCTGGTCTCTCTCTGGTCTCTCTCTGGCCTCTCTCTGGTCTCTCTCTGGTCTCTCTCTGGCCTCTCTCTGGTCTCTCTCTGGTCTCACTCTGGTCTCACTCTGGTCTCACTCTGGTCTCACTCTGGTCTCTCTCTGGTCTCTCTCTGGTCTCTCTCTGGTCTCTCTCTGGTCTCTCTCGTCTCTCTCTCTCATGTCTCTGGTTCTCAACTAAAATTACTTACACCATCTTTAAACATGTGTTATTTATGAGGCTTAGTTTTTAGTATAAAATAATAAAACGGCAAGTCATTTCTCACTTGGATTGAGATAATGCTCGACCCTCAACGACGTGAATGTAAAAGTGTTCTATTTTTATACAATGTGTTGATCCATAAGATATTGATCCTGTATAATCTGTGTTTCTCTTTCCTTATCTCCTGCAGAAGTTTTGCTCCAACTCAATCTGGCTTCTATTGCCTTACATTACTACTAACAACTGACCAATCAGGAGCCAACGTGACATCACCAGCTTCTTCCACAGTCTTAATGCGAAAAAAGCTGATTAAAGCTAATAAAAATATCACAAGATAAACAGCGGAATCACACAGAAGCGCTCCACAGATTTAAGTCCAAATCTGTGGTTTAGGCTCTAAACCGTGACACTGAGCTAGAGGAGATTCCATTTACATAGAACTCAACAGGAGCCAGAGCAAGTTGGAGCCAAACTTCAACATGGGCACTTCCCTACTGGGTTTCATTGAGCTAGCGTGTTAGCATTGCCCACCTGTGTACTCCAGCCTGGCAAGGGGCACACCTCTCTCCTGATTGGCTATTTGGTTGCTCTTCGGTTGCTATGAGACAATATGGCTGTATAAAACCTTGGTTATAGTAACAAGAATCATGTTTCTTTATCGCTTGTCCTATAATAATGTATTTGTTTTGCATATATGTAAAACAGTTTTCACCCAAAAGAAGATTAATCCAAATGTCCTTGTTTCCTGTCCCTTTAGACCTGCTTTAGTCCTGTTTTAGTCTTGGTTTAGACCTGCTTTAGATCTACTTTAGTCTTGGTTTAGACCAGTTTCTTGGGTTTTCGCAGGAGGTCATTGAGAAGAAGAAGAAGAAGAAGAGAGCTCAGCGTTTCCATTTCATGAAAGAAAACCCTATTTTTTTCTGTGTTTGTGATATTTTAGTATTACGTTTTAATATTATATGTGTATTATATTGGGTTTGGGCCACTTGAAAGCAAAGAGATCCAAATGTTCCGAAAGTCCAGTGGTTTGGTTGGAGCCTGGTCTTTTCTGCTGTGGTAGAGATCTGGGCCAAAGTCGGCGTCCTTTTTGTCTTTGTCAGCGTTAATAGGAGTGCGAGGAGGAAACTGCAGTGTAATCCTTTCCAATCCCATCAGCGAGTCACCAAGAGAGAAACCAATCCGACCGTGGCCAAAACGGGTTAATCCAGGAAAATCTGGGACAAGACTAATGCAGCCGCCACCTCCTGAGGACAGACTACGCAGAGGTAGTGTTTGCCTTAATGCAGAAGAAGCTGGTCAGAGCTTACTCAAACAGACTTTCCAAGCAGGAATCTGGGGCCAAATGTGTGCAAATTTTATAGAGCCAATCGGGAGTGCCGCCAGTGTGTCCTCTCTCATGCTACTCGCTGATAAAGCCTAATTGAGTGACAGAAGGCTCCTGATTGGTCAATCCTTTAATGGCTCATATCTGGATTTACACAGACACTATTACATTATAAACACTAAGATCACAGAGAGCGCTAAACAACAGATGTTTAATCCCAAAATGGTGAGTGTGAAACAAACGGTCACTGAGCCTGAGGAGTTCTTTTTTTACATCATGTAAGTCAATAGAAGCCGGCAAAACTTTGTCCATGAGCACTTCCTTTTGAGCTTCATTAAGCTAGTGGGTTAGCATTGTATAGAGCAGTGGCGGGCAAACCTTCCGTTGCTTCCATCTGGCCCCTGAGCATATAGTATAAATACAATAAAATCCGCGCAGAGCTCTGGAGCCACAGTCGCGCTCCTTTCTCTGTTGAGATTTATGATCTAATACTTAATATAACATAAATAATAATAAAGATATATGTAAAAAAGTTAAGCCTGAGGAGGACATTGAAAATTAGGTCTGGCCCCGACAGCACCCTGATATAGCACTGTGGCCATAGGAGGAAAAGTGTGCCTGTGCCTGGTATAGTCTATGGGCGCCCTCTCTGGTGGCTTCCATTCACTCCATCATAGCGCCCCCCCCTGGTCTCTTGCACTAAAGTGTAGATTTAAAGAAAACCGAAGGATTTATGAATAAAAGTTCTGGATGACAAGGGACACTAAAATCCCCACAAAATCCAACCTTTATGAAAGCTGTAGGTTCTCTGTCAGCTGAGGTCGAGCTGTTTTAGTTTACATTGAGTTCTATGGGGACAATTTCTGAGTAGCCCACATGAATTTGGTCTGGTTTAGTCTGGTTTAGTCTGCAGTACCGTGAGAATCCCCGAGCACATGGGTCCTTCAGCTCCAAGCTAGTAATACCCTATCCAGTTATTATCATTGATCCATGCTGCTACTATATCATGGCGCCCCCTCTGGTCTCTTCCTGCTACTACATCTGGTGCCCTGTTGGTCGCGTCTCGTTACTGCACACTGGCGCCCTCTCTGGTCGCGTCTCGTCACTGCAGTCTCCAACATGGCGGCCCTCAGCAGCCCCGTCTCGCTGCAGACTCTCCCCACTTCAGAGCGCTCCGAGACGGCCACAGAAGCAGAGCAGGAGCCGAGGGACGCGGAGCCCATGGAGGTGGAGGAGGGCGAGCTGGAACTAGAGCCCCCGGAGAGCCTGGAGCCTCAGCCGGAGGACGTGACCGTGAAGAGGACCGTGTTCCCCGTGAGTAGGCCGCACTCAGGCCGCGGGCTGGAGTGAGCTGTAGCCCGGGTTTGGAGGGCGCCTGTCGGGGTGAAGCTGAGGGGATCACCGCTCTGTGTGCGTCCATTTGCGGGAGGATTAAGTGATGTTCTTAAACAGGTTAAATGCAGGAGTTTATCATGTGTGAAGTGAACGCAGCTCCAGCGAAACAATAATAAAGCTGCACGTGTTGACGTCAGGTCCCAGCTGTCAGTTCGAGAAGCTTTTGTATAAAGAAAAAACTGTTGTTGTCTAAACATGTTGTAAAACTATCACCCCCAAACAGAGTTACAGCTGAAGGACGAGCGCAGTGAGGGATTCTACTTAAATAATAGTCTTAATTATTAGACAATATTGCAGACAATCTGGTGGAAGATGCTGAACTTTCGTCTCATAAATAACACATGTTTAAAGCTGGGGTCTGTAACTTTAGTCTCATAAATAACACATGTTTAAAGCTGGGGTCTGTAACTTTCGTCTCATAAATAACACATGTTTAAAGCTGGGGTCTGTAACTTTAGTCAGACCAAAACATGCTGTTATCTTCTGCAAGAAAGAGCCCTTAGTCACTATTTGCCTCTTTGGGCTGAGAGCTGATTGGCTGAGTGAAGGTGGTCCTCTCTGTCACTTTTCTGTCTGAAAAACTGATCCAAAGATGTCCAGAAATACATGATGTGAAATCTAGTGGTAGAAGCAACTGTTTTAGAGCCAGAGATTGAGAATTGTTTATTACAGAGTTCTATTGGTTTGAAAAGTTAACTCTGCTCTAATCTGTTACATTCAGTGAGCAGGACTCAATTGGACTGATCTGGCCTGGTTTGTCCTGGTTTCTTAGGCCTAAAATCTTTGTTTTTGTCAAGGACACGAGTCGGCGACACTACAAAAACAAGGCCGGAGCGTTTATCACTGGGATTGACGTCAACTCAAAGGTAGACCTGCTTTAGACCTGCTTTAGTCCTGCTTTAGTCCTGCTTTAGTCCTGCTTTAGACCTGCTTTAGTCCTGCTTTAGACCTGCTTTAGTCCTGCTTCAGTCCTGCTTTAGACCTGCTTTAGTCTTTCTTTAGTCCTGCTTTAGACCTGCTTTAGACCTGCTTTAGACCTGCTTTAGTCCTACTTTAGTCCTGCTTTAGACCTGCTTTAGTCTTTCTTTAGTCCTGCTTTAGACCTGCTTTAGTCCTACTTTAGACCTGCTTTAGTCTTTCTTTAGTCCTGCTTTAGACCTGCTTTAGTCCTGCTTTAGACCTGCTTTAGTCCTGCTTTAGACCTGCTTAAGACCTGCTTTAGTCCTGCTTTAGTCCTGCTTTAGACCTGCTTTAGACCTGCTTTAGTCTTTCTTTAGTCCTGCTTTAGACCTGCTTTAGACCTGCTTTAGTCCTGCTTTAGACTTGCTTTAGACCTGCTTTAGACCTGCTTTAGACCTGCTTTAGACCTGCTTTAGTCCTGCTTTAGACCTGCTTTAGTCCTGCTTTAGACCTGCTTTAGTCTTTCTTTAGTCCTGCTTTAGACCTGCTTTAGACCTGCTTTAGTCCTGCTTTAGACTTGCTTTAGACCTGCTTTAGACCTGCTTTAGACCTGCTTTAGACCTGCTTTAGACCTGCTTTAGTCCTGCTTTAGACCTGCTTTAGTCCTGCTTTAGACCTGCTTTAGACCTGCTTTAGTCTTTCTTTAGTCCTGCTTTAGACCTGCTTTAGACCTGTTTTAGACCTGCTTTAGTCTTTCTTTAGTCCTGCTTTAGACCTGCTTTAGACCTGCTTTAGTCGTACTTTAGAGATGCTTTAGGTCTGCTTTAGTCCTTATTTAGTCCTGCTTTAGAGCTTTTTTAGACCTATTTTAGGCCTGCTTTACACCTGTTTTAGACCTGTTTTAGGCCTGCTTTAGTCCTTCTTCAGACCTGCTTTAGACCTGGTTTAGTCCGTCTTTAGTCCTGCTTTAGACCTGTTTTAGGCCTGCTTTAGTCCTTCTTCAGACCTGCTTTAGACCTAGTTTAGTCCGTCTTTAGTCCTGCTTTAGACCAATTTCTTGTGTTTTCGCAGGAGGCCATTGAGAAGAAGGAGAAGAGAGCACAGCGATTCCATTTCAAAGCCGAAGAGAGCGCCCCCCAGAGGACAGTCTGCCTGGATAAGGACAGCGTCAGGAAAGGTCAGTCCTGGTCCAGTCCTGGTCTAGTCCGAGTATAAGTGGTCCCTTTCCTGCACACACATATTGTATTGTGTTGCGGCGGTACCTAGTGTCCAGATGGAGGCCCTGCAAATGAAGGGGCTGGTCCTGGTCCTGGTCTATAACCGGTCTCTCTTCTGTTCCAGCGCTCCCTAGTGTCCGGATGGAGGCCCTGCACATGGAGGGTCTGGACGACATGAGCACTGAGGACGTGTTCGGGTTTTTCAGAGAGTATCCTCCAGCGCACATCGAGTGGATCGACGACACTTCCTGTACGTACCATGTTGGTCATCGGCGGATTTATTTCCTTTGAGCAAAAATGCCTGCATGCTTCTGAATTATCTGCTTATCACAAATTCTGAACATATTTTACGAACGGGGGATGTTCCAGGGCAGGTTTGGGACAGACATTTTGGCTCTGAAGAAGCTTTGTGTTTAGGTAACGTGGTTTGGCTGGACGAGGACACCTGCATCAGAGCGCTCGTCAACACCACCAGCAGGCCCCTCCCCTCTGAGACTGGCTCCGCCCCCACGGAGCCGACGGGCAAGACACAGGGCCAATCAGAGCACGGCAAAGGTACACAGCCAATCTGAGCATTCTCCCTCCGTAGCATATAAACAGGTTTTAAAGGGTTTGCAGTGGGCATGGTATTGTGACACCAGGAGAGGGGGGCTCTTTCATTATATTTACCGGGGTTGGGGCACCAGCTTTAAGTAAAGAATACTTAAGTACTGTAATCCTCATCTGGTGACTAGCATCTATAGTTGGAGAAAAACATGAGTGGTTTGTTTAATCCCAAACTAGAGTCTCGTGTCTTACATGTGGTCTTGTAAAACATTGATAAGGTTCAAAATGTAACATTAGTCTGACTTCACTGCAGGACGCAGAGGTCGAAGGTCAGATGATGACGAGGAGGATGAAGAAGAGGATGAAGAAGACGGGGAGGTGGAGAAGAAGCTCTCTCCTCCCACAGAGACTCAGGTCAGACCAGACGTTCATGGCCTCTCCTGGTCTCGGCCTCTGGGGTCTTGTTCTCAGTGAGAGAAAGATAAAGTCTGAGATTGTTCGATGGTTGATGCAGTTCCTGCAGTGATGTGGTCGTATCAGGCTGTGAAGGAGCAGCGTCTGCACTCAGAGCTCTTTGTTCTCACCCTGCCTATGGGCATGAGCTTTGGGGAAGGGCCTAAAGGACCAGTTCTGCTGGACTGGGTCTCAGTGTGGTCTGGTTTCAGGTCCAAGACTGGGTCTCCTTGTGGTCTGGTATCAGGTCCAGGACTTTGTCCCTCTGTGATCTGGTTTCAGGTCCAGGACTGCATCTCACTGTGGTCTGGTATCAGGTCCAGGACTTGGTCCCTCTGTGATCTGGTTTTAGGTCCAGGACTGCGTCTCACTGTGCTCTGGTTTCAGGTCCAGGACTGGGTCTCACTGTGGTCTGGTTTCAGGTCCAGGACTTGTCTGGAGCCGAGGTGGAGTCTCTGCTGAGTAACGAGTTCAGACCATCGATCAAACTGTTCAAAGGAAACACTCTTCTTATGCGCTTCGCAACGCATGGTAAGTCCAGTCCAGACCGGACCAGACAGTGGACCAGACAGTGGACAGAGAGACCAGAGACCAGACCATGTGACTGTGTTTGCAGACGACAAAAAAGAGCCTGGAGCCGCTCGCCGCAGCAGATACTACATGAAGTACGGGAACCCAAACTACGGAGGCATGAAGGGCATCCTCAGCAACTCATGGTACTAAACCTGTTCTAGTCCTGCTTTAGTCCTGCTCTAGACCTGCTTTAGTCCTGCTCTAGACCTGCTCTAGACCTGCTTTAGTAAGTAAGTAAGTAAGCTTTATTTATATACCGCCTTTTCACTGCACATCGGAGTCTCAAAGCGGTTTATAATTGTTATTTTTTGGGAGTGTGGGTGCCAGTACAGGAGGCACATGTCAGACCTATTGTACATATTTTTAGTGGTAGGGGAAACCGGAGCACCCGGAGGAAACCTACGCAGATACGGGGAGAACATGCAAACTCCACTCAGAAAGGCCCTGGTCCAACCGGGATTCGAACCCAGGACCTTCTTGCTGAGAGGCGAGAGTGCTATCCACTCAGCCACCGTGCCGCCCGTCTAGAGTCCTGCTCTAGACCTGCTCTAGACCTGCTCTAGAGCAGTTTAGTTCTTCTTTAGACTTATTTTGTTGTTACTTTTGCAGGAAGCGCAGATATAACAACCGTCGGACCCAAAGAGACGTCCTGAAGACCAAGAAACCTCTACTTGGAGACAGTCTGGGACACACACCGCCCTACCCCCACAGGCACTCAGGTCAGCGGTACCATCAAACTGCTCCACCAGGGCTCGACATTAACGGTTGCCCGCTTTCCCGGGGCAAGTAAAGATGTGGGACGGTGCGCTGTTTTAACAGGTTGCCCGATCGGGCAAGGGATGTGTTGTTTTAACGCATTCAGGCCGAGAACACATTTCTTCATCTGGAGCCGGGACCTGCTCTGTTTCTCGTTTTTTGAATAATTCTCTTCATTGGTGAATTTTCTGGATCAATGAAATGCATCTGGATAAACCAGGAATTAAAATGTTCTGCGGGAACTTTCTGTTGTTTGCATTATACTCGAACGGCTTTCACTTCCTCCGCTCTGAGCCCAGGACTGCTGTGGCCGCTTTGTACCAGAGACAGGGCAGGACCATAGACGCCAGGGCAGGACCATAGACGCCAGGGCAGGACCATAGACGCCAGGGCAGGACCAGAGACGCGAGGGCAGGACCATAGACGCCAGGGCAGGACCATAGACGCAAAGGCAGGACCATAGACGCGAGGGCAGGACCATAGACGCAAAGGCGGGACCATAGACGCAAAGGCGGGACCATAGACGCAAAGGCGGGACCATAGACGCAAAGGCGGGACCATAGACGCAAAGGCGGGACCATAGACGCAAAGGCGGGACCATAGACGCAAAGGCAGGACCATAGACGCGAAGGCAGGACCATAGACGCCAGGGCAGGACCATAGACTCGAGGGCAGGACCATAGACTCGAGGGCAGGACCATAGACGTAAAGGCAGGACCATAGACGCAAAGGCAGGACCATAGACGCAAAGGCAGGACCATAGACGCAAAGGCGGGACCATAGACGCAAAGGCGGGACCATAGACGCAAAGGCGGGACCATAGACGCAAAGGCAGGACCATAGACGCGAAGGCAGGACCATAGACGCGAAGGCAGGACCATAGACGCCAGGGCAGGACCATAGACTCGAGGGCAGGACCATAGACTCGAGGGCAGGACCATAGACTCGAGGGCAGGACCATAGACGCAAAGGCAGGACCATAGACGCAAAGGCAGGACCATAGACGCAAAGGCAGGACCATAGACGCAAAGGCAGGACCATAGACGCGAAGGCAGGACCATAGACGCGAAGGCAGGACCATAGACGCGAAGGCAGGACCATAGACGCGAAGGCAGGACCATAGACGCGAAGGCAGGACCATAGACGCGAAGGCAGGACCATAGACGCGAAGGCAGGACCATAGACGCGAAGGCAGGACCATAGACGCGAAGGCAGGACCATAGACGCGAAGGCAGGACCATAGACGCGAAGGCAGGACCATAGACGCGAAGGCAGGACCATAGACGCGAAGGCAGGACCATAGACGCCAGGGCAGGACCATAGACGCCAGGGCAGGACCATAGACGCCAGGGCAGGACCATAGACGCAAAGGCAGGACCATAGAAGTGCAGACAGAACCAAAGAGGCGTGTTCAAAACCATCCCAGTTCGTTGCAAGTGCGGTCTCACCTTGTCTGCCCTGAAGAGCAACCAAACTCATAAAATTAAAGCTTGGATACCTAAAATTTACCCATGCATTTAACAATGCACGTTGGTTGTAATGTACATCAAAGTAAAATGTTGGGAACAAATCCAATAGAACACACCACAACAGGCGTCTTGTTTTTTATTTTGCAAACTTAAGAGCCCAGGAAGTCATTATTTGACTTTTTGGGCAGAGAGTGGTGGTGTTATTATTATTATATATTATTAATCTTTATTAAGGACACAATACAACACGGTCCATAGTTAAAAGAAAATATCCAATACACTACAATATATATACAGTGCCTTGCGAAAGTATTCGGCCCCCTTGAACCTTTCAACATTTCGCCACATTTCAGGCTTCAAACATAAAGATATAAAAATTTTTTGTCAAGAATCAACAACAAGTGGGACACAATCGTGAAGTGGAACAAAATTCATTGGATAATTTAAACTTTTTTAACAAATAAAAAACTTAAAAGTGGGGCGTGCAATATTATTCGGCCCCTTGCGCTAATACTTTGTAGCGCCACCTTTTTCTGCAATTACAGCTGCAAGTCGCTTGGGGTATGTCTCTATCAGTTTTGCACATCGAGAGACTGGAATTCTTGCCCATTCTTCCTTGCAAAACAGCTCGAGCTCAGTGAGGTTGGATGGAGAGCGTTTGTGAACAGCAGTCTTCAGCTCTTTCCACAGATTCTCGATTGGATTCAGGTCTGGACTTTGACTTGGCCATTCTAACACCTGGATACGTCTATTTGTGAACCATTCCATTGTAGATTTGGCTTTATGTTTTGGATCATTGTCCTGTTGGAAGATAAATCTCCGTCCCAGTCTCAGGTCTTTTGCAGACTCCAACAGGTTTTCTTCCAGAATGGTCCTGTATTTGGCTCCATCCATCTTCCCATCAATTTTAGCCATCTTTCCTGTCCCTGCTGAAGAAAAGCAGGCCCAAAGCATGATGCTGCCACCACCATGTTTGACAGTGGGGATGGTGTGTTCAGGGTGATGAGCTGTGTTGCTTTTACGCCAAACATATTGTTTTGCATTGTGGCCAAAAAGTTCAATTTTGGTTTCATCTGACCAGAGCACCTTCTTCCACATGTTTGGTGTGTCTCCCAGGTGGCTTGTGGCAAACTTTAAACGAGACTTTTTATGGATATCTTTGAGAAATGGCTTTCTTCTTGCCACTCTTCCATAAAGGCCAGATTTGTGCAGTGCACGACTGATTGTTGTCCTATGGACAGACTCTCCCACCTCAGCTGTAGTTATCTGCAGTTCATCCAGAGTGATCATGGGCCTCTTGGCTGCATCTCTGATCAGTCTTCTCCTTGTTTGAGATGAAAGTTTGGAGGGACGGCCGGGTCTTGGTAGATTTGCAGTGGTCTGATACTCCTTCCATTTCAATATAATTGCTTGCACAGTGCTCCTTGAGATGTTTAAAGCGTGGGAAATCTTTTTGTATCCAAATCCAGCTTTAAACTTCTCCACAACAGTATCTCGGACCTGCCTGGTGTGTTCCTTTGTCTTCATGGTTCTCTCTGCTCTTTAAACAGAACCCTGAGACTATCAAAGAGCAGGTGCATTTATACGGAGACTTGATTACACACAGGTGCATTCTATTTATCATCATCAGTCATTTAGGACAACATTGGATCATTCAAAGATCCTCACTGAACTTCTGGACTGAGTTTGCTGCACTGAAAGTAAAGGGGCCGAATAATATTGCACGCCCCACTTTTCAGTTTTTTATTTGTTAAAAAAGTTTAAATTATCCAATAAATTTCGTTCCACTTCACGATTGTGTCCCACTTGTTGTTGATTCTTGACAAAAAAAAATCATTTTTATATCTTTATGTTTGAAGCCTGAAATGTGGCAAAATGTTGAAAGGTTCAAGGGGGCCGAATACTTTCGCAAGGCACTGTATAATATATATATATATATATATATATAATTTTTTTTTTTTTTTTTTTTCACACATTTAGCGGCACTTGATGCCAAACTCTTGTTAACTCATTGTATTGAGACATTTTTGGGCAAGTAACTTTTGACATTGGGCAAGTAAAATATAAATGGTACTTGCCCGAAGGGCAAGTGGCTGACAAAGCTTAATGTCAAGGCCTGGCTCTACCATCAAACCCCTCTACCATCAAACCCCTCTACCATCAAACTCCTCTACCATCAAACCCCTCTACGATCAAACGCCTCTACCATCAAACCCCTCTACCATCAAACGCCTCTACTATCTAACAGCTGTAGCCTCTTCTCTGTAGCAGAGCTGGTGAATCTGCCTGAAGAGCCCATAAAGGAGGAGGAAGAGGACGAGGATGAGGAGATGGACTCTGATGACCGTGTGGTGGAATACCGCGACCGGGGACCGCGGCGAACTCGCATAGGACCCGCCCACAGCCCCTCCCCCTACTCCTCTGACTCTGCCTCCTCGGACTCCGACCACATGGACTATGACCTGGAGCTGAAGATGATCTCCACGCCGGCGCCCAAGAAGAGCAAGAAGATGACCATGTACGCTGACGAGCTGGACACCAGGTTGAAGAGCATACGGTGAGGAGACGCCATCCACTGTAGATTTTAACAAACATAGTCACGCCTTTCTCTGCCGTTCAAACTAAATACTTAAATTCTATATGCTTAAAGTCTAAATACTTAAATTCTATATGCTTAAAGTCTATATACTGGTGTGTGAGTGACGCTGGTCTGTGAGAAGCGCATTGTAAATAAACTTGACTTGGGGCTGTTCCTGTGCTGTGTTCAGGAACCGTCTGGGAGGATCAGCTCCTCAGAGGAAACAGTCTCCTCCCAAAGTCACAGACGTGAGACAACTGCTGGAGGAGAAGAGGAGTGGGCAGCGAGAGCGCCCCCCGGAGGTGTCCAGGGGAAAGACAGGTGAGAGACCCCTACAGGTGACCAGGAGAAAGACAGGTGAGAGACCCCTACAGGTGACCAGAAGAAAGACAGGTGAGAGACCCCTACAGGTGACCAGGAGAAAGACAGGTGAGAGACCCCTACAGGTGACCAGGAGAAAGACGGGTGAGAGACCCCGACAGGTGACCAGGGGAAAGACAGGTGAGAGACCCCTACAGGTGACCAGGGGTAAGACAGGTGAGAGACCCCGACAGGTGACCAGGGGAAAGACGGGTGAGAGACCCCGACAGGTGACCAGGGGAAAGACAGGCGAGAGACCCCTGCAGGTGACCAGGGGAAAGACAGGCGAGAGACCCCTGCAGGTGACCAGGGGAAAGACAGGCGAGAGACCCCTACAGGTGACCAGGGGAAAGACAGGTGAGAGACCCCTACAGGTGACCAGGGGTAAGACAGGTGAGAGACCCCTGCAGGTGACCAGGGGTAAGACAGGTGAGAGACCCCGACAGGTGACCAGGGGAAAGACAGGTGAGAGACCCCTACAGGTGACCAGGGGAAAGATATGCTGTTGTGCTCTAGCCTGGCCTTATCCATCCGTACTCTTTGCTCAATCATCATTTTCCTGCAGTCTGGTCCCCATGTTAGCGATTACAATGGGTTGAATTTCGACCGACCTACCAGCGAGCCCGGAAGGAGAGTGTTGTAGTTAGTTGTGGGTGATGTCAAGAGTTTGCGTCGAACGGGAAGGTCGTAGTTTGGCAATGGCGAAAAATGCGCTAGTAAAGTAATTTGATCTTGTTCTATCAAGAAATTGAATGTTTAGCAAATGTAATTGCTAAAAAAAAAATGTGGCGCTACTCCCCACGGGGTCCGTTAGCGGCAAAGGAGATGGCTAGGCTAAATGCTAAATGCTAACAACTCACTCAAGCGCATTACGTCACGGTAAACTCAGATCCAATCGTTTCAATCTGCAAAAGGAGTTAATCCCTTCCACCTGTTCACGGAGTCAATGGAGCAAATCCAGACCTTAGTATGAAATGTCATTTGTACTATGGTGTGGTACGACCAGGCTAGTTGTGACCAAGGTGTGCTGTTTTCTTGTGTTGTGACAGATGTGCGTCACCGTTTGGGAAAGAGACAACGCTCCCCCTCCCCTCGCAGCCCCTCCCCCCTGCGAGACACGCCCCCAGATCGAGAGCCAATCAAGGACGTGCACCGCAGACTGGGCGTGGCCAAAGACAGGAAGACGGGTACAAGCATGACGTCATGTTTCGTGTCTGCTCTGTAAAATTGCGTTCCCCAGCTTTAAACTGTCCTCTGAACCCTGTAGGTGCTCTCTGGAGCCGCCTGGCCTCCTCTGATGAAGACTCTGCCCCCCCTGTACAAACTGCCTTCTCGTCGGCGGGCAGCAGGGCGGCGCCACAGCGGCGAGGCAGGGGAGACGAAGACTCTCAAGACGAAGACTCGCAGCTGCAACGTGTTTGGGGCGCCATCATCAAACAGAAACAATCCACCCTCACGAAGAAGAGCAAGAAGAGCCGTCTGGACAACCTGCCCTCTCTGCAGATCGAAATCAGCCGCCAGTCCAGCGAGGACTCCAACTGATCTGGACCAATGTGGGCCATAGCGGTCCAGTGAGGACTCCAAAGGATCACAGTTCACACACACAACTGACCTGAGACCAGACTCCAGGACTTTAGCTACAAGCTTCATTCCTTAATCTTCTTCCAGTGCTCCTGACTGGACTGAGACTGGACCTTTTTGGACCTAGTTCTGGCAGATTCTCAGAGATGCATCTTATGGACAAATTGATCCGAACTCTTTAAAACAGAACATTTGTGAGAAAAATCTTCTGAATTCAAGTCGAGATCGTCAGCAGGATCATGTCTCACACGACCAGGACGACCCAGGAGCCAGAGATCAGAGTCCGTCACACGACCAGGACGACCCAGGAGCCTGTGATCAGAGTCCGAGTCCCTCACACGACCAGGAGAACGATCCAAAGAACGAACAGAGAAGACTGGGCTGTTTGAAATATGTCGTGACACACGTGTAAATAAAACCTTGAACGTGACGTGACGTGACTCATTAAAAATAAATATACTGTGTTTTTCCAGAGGAAAGACTAAATCCGATCCATGAATTCCAAATGACATTCCAATGTGGACCAGGGAGTCCTGGGGGAGTCGATTCAATTTATTTTTGTATAGCCATAAGTCGACTCCGTGGACTTTACAAAGACATTTCTGAGAATCAAACCTCTCTCTGACATCTCTCTCTGGTCTCTCTTGTTCCTGGTTCTAAAAGAGTCCTGGGAGAGTCCTGGTGATGAACTTTGTCTTGAACCAGAACAATTTTTTCTCCACTTTGTAAATAAAGACGTTTTTTGTTTGAAATGTGTTTTGGGAGTCTGATATTTCTTTGACTCAAACCAAATCTGGGATTTGTAACTTTTAGACAACATTTATGTCTGACCTGTCACATCTTTTTCAGACAGAGAAGTGCATAAGTCTTCAGTCTAATATTGTTTGTTACAATGACGAGCAGTCTCAGTGGTGGTGTCTAAAGCCGGACTGGAACATGTCAAATGAGTTGTTAATTATAAGAAATTTGGTAAACTGTTGGTAGACAAGGGGCTCGTAATTCTCACCCTTGCCCTAGATTTTGCGCGTGCCCGCGGGGGTTGTAGGGTGTCCCAATACTGAGGGAGAAGAGGCGAGGGCACTCACACCATTAAAAACCACCCTGAGCTCCGGAAGTTGATCCCATGATGCATTAGGATAGTTGGTAAAGTAGCTGTCGGGCAAAGCTGCGCCACAATGAGAAGAAACATGAAACAACCGGGCGCAAGTTTGTGGTGAATCTGAAGAAGCTTCGAAGCATGCGCGAGTCATTCAGAGGGGATTTTTCAAAAGTGTGTTTTGGTGCCGTGTGCGGTGACGTTCGCTCATGAAGTGGCCGCAGCGTGTGGCGTTCACTGTGTGGAGCAGTCCTGCACCTAATTATAGCTAATTTTCTTCTTATGAAATATAAATAAAAACATCTCACTTTAAAAAATACTTTGTTTCATAAAGTCATATCTGTGTCAGATCTTATCTCTGGTGAAATCAGACACATAGAGAATTCATGGAACTCAAAATTTGCATATTGTCCCCTATCCAGGGATGTCCCATTTCTTAGGGAGAATATCCTGCAATATCGTCTGCTGAGGGGACTTCACAACTCGAGTGCCCTCTGAATTGGGATGGGCCCAAGGACTCTCCCCATAAATGGCAGATTTTTAGATGTGGCGAAGGGATTGTAAAGCGACTGGTCTGTGAAAGGAAATAAATAAAGATTACTTATGTACAATAGTTATATTGTGCCGTGGCATCTAGACTGCTCTTTATTTTGGTCTGGTTTTAACCTTCAGAGCTTTGCACGGTCAGGCCCCGTCTTACATCAGTGACCTGATCCAGCCTTACACCCCAGCCAGGGCTCTGAGGTCTGTGGATCAGAACCTCCTGATGGTTCCACGCACTCGCTTCAAGACCAGAGGAGACAGGTCCTTCCAGGCTGTTGCTCCCAAGCTTTGGAACGTTCTCTCGCTCTCTCTGCGTTCTATAGAGTCTGTTGAGTGCTTCAAAAGTCAACGTAAAACCCATTTATTTGTTCAGGCTTTTGCGTAAGTTTGTCTTGCTGTATTCTTTTACATGGTTGTCTTGGCCTTTAAAAATTTGTATGTCTAATTTATATGTCTGTTTTTATACTATGTGAAGCGCCTTGTGACCCTGGTCTGTGAAGGGCGCTATATAAATAAAGTTTACTTACTTACTTACTTTATTAGGAGGGGCCTGATGGAAATGTAGATTTTCAAAATCTAGTGGGTAATAGTAGGTCTAGGCTGCAAGTGGAGGAACTCAGACTTGTGATTATCTCTTGGACAGTTTTATCATCTACAGGTGCAAAGTGAGTTTGCTCAGAGAGGGCTTTGGATTGTTATGTGTGGATTGGAGACAATGGAACAGTGCACATTGTTAATCTTTTAACTGTTGAAAACAGAACATGCAGATTGTTACTGCAGTTTCAGAAAAATACCTTTCTCTCGTTCTACGTAGCACCACTTACGCTCGGCCCTTGGGCATTCTCTCTTCTGTGCCCTGACCAAATCTTTATTAGTCCACATCGCCTTCTGATTTTTTTCCCCCTCTATTTAAACCTTCGCTAACCTGTGTTAAACAGTTCATTGACTGTAGAACACAATGTTTTCACAAGTTTATCGTTCTCATGAACAGTTTGTCCTTTTTTCATTTAAATGTCTTCTTTGAACAATTGTAGAGCCTACTGGTGGTTTACTGGCAACAATGACCACATTTACATTTGAAATATTAAACCCCTTAGTAATTAGAAGGTCTAGAGTGTGCCCTCTACTGTGAGTGGGGCCACGCAGTGCTGAGTGAGTCCGAAGGTATCAAGTACAGAACTCAGCACTTTTAACATTATCCACGAGTACATTAAAATCACTCGTAATGACTAAACAATCAAAGTTGGTGCACACAACTGAAAGCAACTCAATAAAATGATCAATAAAGATGTGACACGACTGCAGCTTGTATTAGACAATGAAGAGCATTGGAGCTTCCTTAGCTCCACACAGACATCCTTCACAGCAAAGAAGGTTGCAGCTGCAGAGGTGGTGTAGCCGTCGGGTTAGAATAAGTCTGGTGTGTGAACGGTTGATTGTGGTTGGAGGGATTGGGGCACAGACTGCCAGATCAGTGTGCTCCAGGGAAGCTGTGGCTACAATAGTGGCTTATCACCGCCATGTATGGAGTAAATGAAGAAATGGCATGAGTTTTATTATTTGATATTCTGTACACTTTTTAAAGACTTAAAAAAGCAAACACACACAAATACAGACACACATCGACATACAAGTTTCTGTGACAAAAGATGTTCACAAATCATGGATACATTTTATCATCTGGAGAGAGTTCCTGATGAACGGTGCCACACGGTGGTGAACCACAGTACTGCAGACTAAACATGACACACACTGCTAACAAGCAGCTCGTCCTCAGCTTCATGAACCTGCAGCTCAAAGCCCAGACTCAGTGATGTTAGTGTCTCTGTGTTTCATCAATTGTTTTCCTTTGAAATCCATCAGTTTTTCTGATGGATAGGGCAGACATTATGGAGACATGGGGCAGACATCTTGGAGAACAGGGCCGTATATCTTGGAGTCCTAGAGTCCCAGTGGGCCCCAGCGCAAAGACCAAACAACAGCCCCGTCTTGTCACCGAATATCTATGTGGCTCGAGTCGTGTTCTGGTCGAGACCTCACATTAACAGTCCTCACCAGACCAGAGAGAGCGACAAAAAGGAGACCAGCAAAGGAGACAACGGCGTCATGGTGTCTGAGTGGATAGTACTCTCGCTTCTCAGCAAGAAGATCTTGGCTTCAAATCCCGGTCGGAAGAGGGCCCTCCTGAGTGGAGTTTGCATGTTCTCCCCATGTCTGCATAGGTTTTGTCCGGGTGCCCTGGTTACCCCTACCACTAAAAACATGCACAATAGGTATGAATGTAATGAGTGAGTGAATGGATGGTGTGGTGTTTTAGGGGGCTTTGATGCTTTGTATTCGTCTCGTCTCGCTTTCGTCATCACCTTGTGGAGAGAATGGAACAAAATCTGAACTCTGAATATTGTGAAGTGCTTTGGGTGACCTCGGCCGGTAAAAATGCGCTTGAGATTACTACTATTTACTTACTTATTAGAACAAGACCAGTCCCAGTCCACATCTGAGTCCTCACCGTCTGCCTAAGTCCTGTCCCTTGTGGCAGAAGCTGAAGCGCAGTAGCAGCGCGGCGCGGATGGTCGGGTCGCGCAGCGCGTACACCAGTGCGCTTAGGCTCTTGGGCATCAAGATGAGGAGCATGTACACAAGCGTCTGCATGCGCAGAAACACCAGCGGCGGCAAAAGCTGGTACAGCGCCCCCTGCAGTACATCATGGAGCGTCGACAGCAACATCATACTTAGCTGGAACAAGTGCAGCAGGATAGTGTGGCGGGCGCGGCGGGCTGAGACCTACAGTGGGACACAGGTGAGCGAGTCCAGAGATTGACCAATCAGCCCCACCCCTCTCACCTTAGCCTCGCCCCTCTCACCTGGTCCGTGGCAAGCGAGTTTGCTGTTTTCATCACGGCGGCGTAGGATCCAGCAATGGAGACAAACGCGCCGAGATACAGCGAGTAAATGAGCGCCTCATCAAAGAGTTTGGACTCTTTAGACGGATACAAGACGAGAGTGTTACAGGAGCGAGTCATCTGGGGAATCAAAAGGGAGATCAAAGACAGATCACTGTCAACTGTGATCATGATAACTGTAGACTGTGGCTGTAACGTCCCCTACACAGCGCACGCGTCTCCTCAGCAGTCGGCCTTAAGCAAACACTGCTGATGTCCCTGTGTCTATGGAGAAGTGTAGTCAGTCAGACACTCTTCTACAACAGTTGCATTTGAAATCAGTCGATGGGCGCTGCTGCGAGAGTCTTTTTGCTTCAAAAGACGTGTGCGCAGCACAAGGGACGTACCAGTGTCTGAGAGCGTCCGCACCTGGTCGCTAGGTTTGTACTTTGGGGCGACGAAGCCGAGCCGCACCAGTATGGTGCAGAGTATGAGCGTCCAGGCGCAGAGCGCCGCCTTCAGGCTGTTGGAGGCAGTGGCGATGGCGGCGTGGCGCAGGGGCATAAGCACGGCGATGAAGCGCTCCAGAGACATGAGAACCAGCACCAGCGGCGTGAAGTCGTGCGCTGCGTGCGTCAGCAGCACCAGCGTCAGACACAGCGGCACGTACAGCAGCAGCCGCGCATACGCAATCACGAACATCGTCTGCGTCAGCGACATCTGCAGCGTGTCCGCGAGCAGCAGCAGAAACAGCAGCACGTGACGAGGAGCGTCTCTGAGCGCCGCACGAGAGCCCAGCGTGTGCAACAGCAACACATTCACCCACAACAACACACAACACAACAGAGACGCAAAGAAGCCGAACAGAAAGCGCTCTGAGGCCGGCAGGAGAACGGACGCTGAGGAGGAGGAAGAGTTTAGAGAGGAGGTCAGAGAGGAGGAGGTCAGAGAGGAGGAGGTCAGAGAGGAGGAGTTCAAAGAGGAGTTCAGCCACATTTCAAACAGAGTTCAGTCTGAGTTTGGGTTCCAGTCTGCAGGAGAACAGCCACAGTTTCTGCTCCCGTGCACTGATTTATCAGTTCACACTTAATTTACAGCGTGTTGTACTTTAACGACATTAACATCATCAAAAACATCAGAGTTATATCATGTCACCGCGAGTAAAATATGACAGATTTTTTGGCCTATGTGCAAAGTGATTAGAGGACTCTCACTGGTCTCTCTCGCTGGTCTCTCTCTCTCTCCAGTCACTCTGCTCTCTCTCTAGTCTCTCTCTCGTCTCTCTGGTCTTCCCGTAGCCCTCAACACAGTGTCCTTTGCAGCTGTAAAATATTACAGTGTATGCACAGCTTTTGACAGCTGCAGCAGCACTCAGATCTACAACCAACTAGTTTGATATCTCTGCGGTTTCACTTCAGCAGTTTACAGTTACACCTTGGTTTCTGTTGAGCATATTTGATATATCAATAAGCAAAGACATTAAATAGTGTACGTGGTGATGTCATGTGTTATTGTGAGTTTGTTCGATCAATCTGGGGATAGATGATGGGGGCACAGTGGTGACTGGTGAAGACTGCTGGACTAATGGCAAATGCTACAGTTTGAATCCCATTTTTCTCTGCAGTCTGTGTCCAGCTCAAAAACATATTATTGGAATATTCAGACGGGTTGCAGCGTTACGTTTGAGAAAGTTACAACTTAGACCTCGGAACAAAGTCACAATATGACAATAAACAGCCACAGGAAGCAGACACAACACACTAACCACTCAGCCACTATGCTGTCCTCTTTCAGTCCTGGTTTTGTCCAGCTTGAGTCCTGCTTTAGACCTGCCCTAGACCTGCTTTAGACCTGCCCTAGACCTGCTATAGTCCTGCTTTAGACCTGCCCTAGACCTGCCCTAGACCTGCTATAGACCTGCTTTAGTCCTGCTTTAGACCTGCCCTAGACCTGCTTTAGACCTGCCCTAGACCTGCTTTAGACCTGCTTTAGACCTGCTTTAGAATTGTAATGTTAATCATATGTGGTGAAAAAACAAAAGCACTGTCACAAGGCCTGTTTGATTATTCACCATCAGGACCAAGGACTTGGACCAAGACCTGGACCAAGACAAGACCTGGACCAAAACAAAACCTAGAACAAAGATCAGACCTGGACCAAGACTAAGGAGACCGGGACCAAAACAAAACCTAGAACAAAGATCAGACATGGACCAAGACCAAGGCAAGACCTGGACCAAGACAAAACCTGGACCAAGACAAAAACTGGACCAAGACAAAACCTGGACCAAGACAGAACCTGGAACAAAGATCAGACCTGGACCAAGACAAAACCTGGACCAAGGCAAAAACTGGACCAAGGCAAAACCTGGACCAAGGCAAAATCTGGACCAAGGCAAAACCTGGACCAAGACAGAACCTGGACCAAGGCAAAACCTGGACCAAGGCAAAACCTGGACCAAGGCAAAATCTGGACCAAGACAGAACCTGGACCAAGGCAAAACCTGGACCAAGGCAAAACCTGGACCAAGGCAAAACCTGGACCAAGGCAAAACCTGGACCAAGGCAAAACCTGGACCAAGGCAAAACCTGGACCAAGGCAAAACCTGGGACCAAGACTAGACCTGGACCAAGACAAGACCTGGACCAAGACAAGACCTGGAAAAAGTCTGGACCAGACCTATACAAAGACCAGACCCTGACGAGACTCAGGGTCTATGTTTCTGTTCTGTAGTGAACAGAAAACCATGGTTGATGTTAAATATTCTTAACAAAAGAGATTTGGATATTAATGTGTGAGCTCAGTCTGCAGGAGAAAGGTTTCACTGTTTCATCGTCTAATTATGTAGAACTAAACACTAAGACAAATCACACACAATTTTAAGTAAAAAAAATCACAGATCTTTTGGATTAAAGTAAAAATAAACAGCAAAAACTTTCTCTATAACATTTAATTTTGTTAATATGAAAAAAGAGCCACAGAATAAAGCTGTTTTAGTCCGGCTTTGGTCCTGCTTTAGTCTCTCTCAGTCCTGTGTTAGTCCTGCTTTAGTCTCTCTCAGTCCTGTTAGTCCTGCTTTAGTCTCTCTCAGTCCTGTGTTAGTCCTGCTTTAGTCTCTCTCAGTCCTGTTAGTCCTGCTCTAGTCTCTCTCAGTCCTGTGTTAGTCCTGCTTTAGTCTCTCTCAGTCCTGTTAGTCCTGCTTTAGTCTCTCTCAGTCCTGTGTTAGTCCTGCTTTAGTCTCTCTCAGTCCTGTGTTAGTCCTGCTTTAGTCTCTCTCAGTCCTGTTAGTCCTGCTTTAGTCTCTCTCAGTCCTGTGTTAGTCCTGCTTTAGTCTCTCTCAGTCCTGTTAGTCCTGCTTTAGTCTCTCTCAGTCCTGTTAGTCCTGCTTTAGTCTCTCTCAGTCCTGTGTTAGTCCTGCTTTAGTCTCTCTCAGTCCTGTTAGTCCTGCTTTAGTCTCTCTCAGTCCTGTGTTAGTCCTGCTTTAGTCTCTCTCAGTCCTGTGTTAGTCCTGCTTTAGTCTCTCTCAGTCCTGTGTTAGTCCTGCTTTAGTCTCTCTCAGTCCTGTTAGTCCTGGTGGAAGCGTGGTGGTGCGGAGGCTCAGTTTTATAGGTGATGGTGATGTCATCTTGGGATTACGAGGAGGATCAGTGAAGTCATCCTCATGAGAACTAAAACTTTGGATTAGACAAATTCAGGCTCAACTCAACCGGCGCGGATCAAAACTTCGGCCAGGGCCCGCTTCCCAGCGCAGATGAGGGGGGTCAGTGTGGCGGGTCGTGGGGGGTGAGGTGTGGTGGGGACTTTATATTGTGCGTCACGTTACGTCTTCCTGTGACACACATTTTCATACAGTCTCTGCACTTTTGTATTCTCCGCTTGTGTTAAACCTTTCATATAAGCCCCGGGCCGTGATCGAGGGGCGCAGGGGGAGTGTCTCTCTGCATTGTGTGTGTGTGTGTGTGTGTGTGTCCGCGGTGCACACACACACACACACACACACACACACACACATGTGTGCATTCACACGTGTGTTTGTGTGTGTGTGTGTGCACCGTGGACACACACATGTTACCCACTAAACTGCTGCACTTTGCATCAGAGCAATTTGGACAAGTGTGAGATGTATCTTTCCCTAAACAACGTGATCCGTACTGAGCTGTTAGCTACTGTAGCTGTAGCTGTAGCTGTTAGCTACTGTAGCTGTAGCTGTTAGCTACAGTAGCAGAGCGTAAACAGGAAAAGAAGCGGATCTCAACCAGGGCAACGAGGTAGTCTCTGGTGTTAGTATTAGCGCCACCAGCTGGACCGAGTGTTGTACTACAGCACAATTTCCCTGGCACGGTTCAGACAATACGTTCATGTGACCGCGGGCCGTTTTCACACCCTGTGGCGACGACCCGGGCCACTTGGCCTAGTACGCTTGTAAAAACCTATGTGACCGTGCCCTAAGACGCTTTATTGCAGGTTTGCCAGTTGCAGGTTGCAAGTAAAACAGAAAGGGACAAGGGAAAACAGCATTAATAATAATTCTATAGTGAATAGCACAGTAAACAAGCATTAGCTTAAGTCTCTGAGCTAGAATTTGCCAAAATGAGTCAAAAAAATTGGAACATAAAAATTATACATAGGTCCCCTTTAAGGTCTACATCTTGTCATAAAAATGTATGTGAAATATGTAAACCACAAACAGAGGTAACTCAAATGGAAACTAATTGGCTTAATGTAGCAAACGTCGGGGACGCCTCGGTCTGTGACGCCCTCAGTCTGTGACGCCTCGGTCTGTGACGCCTCGGTCTGTGACGCCTCGGTCCGTGACGCCTCAGTCTGTGACGCCCTCGGTCTGTGACGCCTCGGTCCGTGACGCCTCAGTCTGTGACGCCCTCGGGCTGTGACGCCTCAGTCTGTGACGCCTCGGTCTGTGACGCCCTCGGTCTGTGACGCCTCGGTCTGTGACGCCTCGGTCTGTGACGCCTCGGTCTGTGACGCCCTCGGTCTGTGACGCCTCAGTCTGTGACGCCCTCGGTCTGTGACGCCTCGGTCCGTGACGCCTCAGTCTGTGACGCCCTCGGGCTGTGACGCCTCAGTCTGTGACGCCTCAGTCTGTGACGCCTCGGTCCGTGACGCCTCAGTCTGTGACGCCCTCGGTCTGTGACGCCCTCGGGCTGTGAGCCCTCAGTCTGTGACGCCTCAGTCTGTGACGCCTCGGTCCGTGACGCCTCAGTCTGTGACGCCTCAGTCTGTGACGCCCTCGGGCTGTGACGCCTCAGTCTGTGACGCCTCGGTCTGTGACGCCTCGGTCTGTGACGCCTCGGTCTGTGACGCCTCGGTCTGTGACGCCCTCGGGCTGTGACGCCTCAGTCTGTGACGCCCTCGGTCTGTGGACGCCTCGGTCCGTGACGCCTCAGTCTGTGACGCCCTCGGGCTGTGACGCCTCAGTCTGTGACGCCTCAGTCTGTGACGCCTCGGTCCGTGACGCCTCAGTCTGTGACGCCCTCGGGCTGTGACGCCTCAGTCTGTGACGCCTCGGTCTGTGACGCCTCGGTCTGTGACGCCTCGGTCTGTGACGCCTCGGTCTGTGACGCCCTCGGTCTGTGACGCCCTCGGTCTGTGACGCCCTCGGTCTGTGACGCCCTCGGTCTGTGACGCCCTCGGTCTGTGACGCCCTCGGTCTGTGACGCCCTCGGTCTGAGACGCCCTCGGTCTGTGACGCCTCAATCTGTGACGCCCTCGGTCTGTGACGCCTCAGTCTGTGACGCCCTCGGTCTGTGACGCCTCAATCTGTGACGCCCTCGGTCTGAGACGCCCTCGGTCTGTGACGCCCTCGGTCTGTGACGCCCTCGGTCTGTGACGCCTCGGTCTGTGACGCCCTCGGTCTGTGACGCCCTCGGTCTGTGACGCCTCAGTCTGTGACGCCTCGGTCTGTGACGCCCCGGTCCGTGACGCCTCAGTCCGTGACGCCTCGGTCTGTGACGCCCCGGTCCGTGACGCCCCGGTCCGTGACGCCCCGGCCCGTGACGCCTCGGTCTGTGACGCCTCGGTCTGTGACGCCTCAGTCTGTGACGCCTCAGTCTGTGAGACACAAATCATTCAAATACACACACAGACACAAACAGGGATACACTCCACAGGCACACAGGGGGCGGGGCCAGATGCACAGGCTGCAGCTGATTGGCTGAAGACTGAGAGTTATTCATTCACTCAGACTTTCATGTTTTAAACTGATCTTAAAGGTACTCTGTGTATTTTTAACAGTTGCTCCAAATGACAAAACCAAAAACAAATGTGACCTTGTTAAGAATATTTACCTCCACCATGTTTTTGAATTGTTGTCATAGAATTTTACTTATGAATGTCCATGAGAGATACAATGGTTGAAAAGCGACAAAAAGGATGCAAAACTATGAGCCAAAATCCCCCCGCTGTGCTGACAACCCCTCCTCCTTCATCACCTCTACCATCGTTTATGGCTCTGAGACAAGAGCCATAAACTCTGGCTCACGGCGACAGATAGTTGACCCTGAAACCATCAAAAAGATTTTAACCAATGAATGCTCAGCCTCAATCCCCAGACAGGACGGCCTAGTACTGGACGGCCTGGTACTGGATGCTCTGGTACTGGATGCTCTGGTACTGGGCAGCCTGGATCTGTTCGCTCTGGTATGGACAGCCTGGTACTGGGCGGCCTGGTACTAGGCGGCCTGGTACAGGACGGTCTGGTACTGGATGCTCTGGTACTGGGCGGCCTGGTACTGGGCGGCCTGGTACTGGGCGGCCTGGTACAGGACGGTCTGGTACTGGATGCTCTGGTACTGGGCGGCCTGGTACTGGGCGGCCTGGTACTAGGCGGCCTGGTACAGGACGGTCTGGTACTGGATGCTCTGGTACTGGGCGGCCTGGTACTGGGCGGCCTGGTACTAGGCGGCCTGGTACAGGACGGTCTGGTACTGGATGCTCTGGTACTGGGCGGCCTGGTACTGGGCGGCCTGGTACTGGGCGGCCTGGTACAGGGCGGTCTGGTACTGGACGGTCTGGTAAGATAAGATAAAACGTATCTTTTATTTTTATGTTTAATCAGATTTTAATGTTTATGATTTACGCCTGATGTGATATGGGCTGTGCGGCGCTTTGTGTTGCCAAAAGGTGCTCTACAAAAAAGTGTATAGACATTGATCTCACACTGTCACATTTGGCATAACTAGTACCAACACAATAACAGGAAATGTGCAAACATGTTGAAAATGAAATATAGAAACAGATGAGTGTGACGTGGTTGGATGAGAACATTTTTATATGTATTTGGCGTATTTGACTTTTGGCAGAAAAGGAGGAGAGTGGTTGTTTTGATGACAGAGGGTTTGGAGCCTGGTGTGGTCTTTCTCATTATGAAAGTTTGTTGTGTCTTTCTCTGGTGGAATCAAATCAATCATCATCATGGGATTTAAAAGCTGGGGTACGTAACTTTCAGACCACAACAGTAGAATTCTGTGATCAAATCCATGTCAATATTCATTCATTCATTTTCTGCCCCTTTATTAGTCCATTTCTGGGTCAGGGGGTGATAAGTAGAGCTGCCACCCAGAGCTCATAGCACCAGTCCCTCTGAGCCTCTGCAGAGGGTGAGTCCACAGGAGGATGGCTGCTACATCAGTGGTTCCACTGGTGTTTCAGCAGGAGCTTCAGGCAATGTGGGGTTAAGTGTCTTGCCCAAGGACACAACGACAGCAGTCATTAATGGGAGCAGTTGGAGTAGGTCCCGAGGTGGGCTCGAACCCACAACCTTCCAGCCCAAAGGCCAATGCTCTACCAACTGAGCTGCTGTCGCCCAATATTTCAATATTTCCAAGCTCTAAAACTGTTTGTTCTAGCACTTTTTATGAATATATTGTAGAGAGAGACCAGAGAGAGACAAGAGGGAGACCAGAGTGATACCAGAGAGAGAGACCAGAGTGATACCAGAGAGAGAGACCAGAGTGATACCAGAGAGAGAGACCAGAGTGATACCAGAGAGAGAGACCAGAGTGATACCAGAGAGAGAGACCAGAGAGATAGGCCAGAGTGATACCAGAGAGAGAGACCAGAGATAGGCCAGAGAGATACCAGAGAGAGAGGCCAGAGAGAGACCAAAGAGAGAGAGACCAGAGTGATACCAGAGAGAGAGACCAGAGAGAGAGACCAGAGTGATACCAGAGAGAGAGACCAGAGAGAGAGGCCAGAGAGAGACCAGAGAGAGACCAAAGAGACCATGGAGAAAGACTAGATGGAGGCCAGCGAGAGAGTCTTTGTCCAGGTCTAGTTTTCACATCATGAATGTCTGGCCTCTGTTACATCTTTATATCAGCTTTTCCAGATCGTCTCAGCCCAAAGAGTCAAAGAGTGACCCACAGGGCTCTTTGTACACACAAGATGGCATCATTTCAGCATGTTGTGGTCTGGTACATCAGCTTTAATATCTGTTCTACACTGATTCAGTTCTGTGTTATTGTTATTTTTAATTGGTTTAATAAAGAAGAGACAGAGCACTCAGACAGAGACAACAGCACCGTCCCCCCGACCCTTCTGGCTGAACGCTGAACCAGGCAATCACTTTATAACTGCGGCCCAATGAGTGCTGCTCATCCTGGTCGTCTCTTACTCCATAATAAATGTTTAACTATATGTGTGCACGATAATAAACATACACAGACAGACACACACAGAGAGACACACAAACACAGACACAAACACACAGGCATAAACAGAGAGACACACAGACACACACACGCACAGACACACAGATAATACACAGAAACTGGCATAAATACACACACAGACACAAACAGGGATACACTCCACAGGCACACAGGGGGCGGGGCCAGATGCACAGGCTGCAGCTGATTGGCTGAAGACTGAGAGTTATTCATTCACTCAGACTTTAATGTTTTAAACTGATCTTAAAGGTACTCTGTGTATTTTTAACAGTTGCTCCAAATGACAAAACCAAAAACAAATGTGACCTTGTTAAGAATATTTACCTCCACCATGTTTTTGAATTGTTGTCATAGAATTTGACTTATGAATGTCCATGAGAGATACAATGGTTGAAAAGCGACAAAAAGGATGCAAAACTGAGCCAAAAGCCCCCCGCTGTGCTGACAACCCCTCCTCCTTCATCACCTCTACCATCGTCCCTGTCCCCAAGAAGACCCGGATCACAGGACTCAACGACTACAGACCTGTAGCACTTACGTCTGTCGTCATGAAGTCATTTGAACGCCTGGTTCTCTCTCATCTCAAGTCCTTCACCTCCCCCCTCCTGGACCCCCTGCAGTTCGCCTACAGAGCCAACAGATCTGTAGACGACACCATTAACCTGGTCCTCCACCACATCCTACAGCACCTGAACTCCCCGGGGACCTACGCCAGGGTCCTGTTCGTGGACTTCAGCTCTGCCTTCAACACAATCCTGCCATCCCTGCTCCAGGACAAGCTCTCCCAGCTCAACGTGCCCGATTCCACCTGCAGGTGGATCAATGACTTCCTGACGGACAGGAAGCAGTGAGTGCGTCTGGGGAAGAATGTCTCGGACTCTCGGATTATAAATACAGGAGCCCCTGTTATAGAAATATATACCCCATGAAGGAGAAAACTCAAAGGTCCTTTGTCTGATCAAAAGCGTAAGTTTATTGTTTAACGCACGTGCGGAGAGCCAGCACATACACTCCAAAAGCAGCATGTCCCAGCTCTCGGGGCCAGAGCCCCGAGCTTCCTGTATACAAGACACACACGAAAGCCAGTCCCGCCCACAACAGATGGGAGGGGGGCCACCGGTGCAGGAGGCGCATAGGGATGCAAACAGACTGCAGGATGTAGAGAGTGCACACATACAGACCGATACATATGCAAGAGGTGAAAGGGGGCAAGAGTGATCGCCATTGTCTGTAGGTGTCGGGGGGGGCCCGGCTCCTTCCTGGCAGCAGGGACATATGGATAGAAGCAGGCATGCAGATTCAAGATACGAAAGACACAAGGGTGTGACAGACAGCAGGGGCCCTCACAAAGCTCAGCATGGCGCCAGAAGGTCGTCTCTGCCTTGATAAAAGGCCTTTGACGTCCGTGTATTAGCTGCGGCTGGTTTTATGTAATTACTCCAAAAACTGTCACCACACTCCCCTCTTTTGATAATTCAAAACCATTTTTGCATTAATCAGTTAAATACCAGAGGCATCGTAATCACACCACCTTCAAGCTTGAAACACTTAAATTATTGCTGTCCAAAGTGGACAAGAAAAGAAACATGCTTGTCAATAAAAGAAAGAGCACATTATAATAACACAATGGATCCGGACAGCGATAAGAGAAGACAATATTAACATAATAAACACAGTCAGTGGCACCGCTCCCTATGAGCGTGTGTGGAGCGTTAGTGGTCATGGCGATGTTTGGTCTTGGAGCGGCAAGACTCTATTTGCGTTGAAGCCTTGGCCTCAGCACTCGGTTGGGCAGAGTGCTCGGGGTTTGGGGTGTGGCGACCATGGCTTGAGCACGCTCCAGATCGGCCAGGCCCAAAGCTCGTTTGATGGGAGACCTCATGACAGCACGCTTCACCATGTGCCTCATCAGGAACTGTAGAGCAGCCCTCATCTCCACCTCCTCCGGACACACGGGAGACGAGACACCAGGGGGCACTCCAGCAGAGCTCAAATCTGCATTATGGCCAGAGGGAGCAAGCTCTGGAGAAATCTTTGGAATGGGCAGCAGCTCTGCATACTTGCTGCAGCTGAGCAGAGCGCTCAGGGCCTTCATGGCTCCCAAGCCTTGGGATCCGGGGGCTGGGGAGTTGGGCAAAGGGGGGTCGCCTCGGGAACGCTGGGATTCTCTGGGTGTTGTTGTTGGCCGCCGCGGATGGGCCTGGTCCGTCCGCGCCCTCGGTGTCCTCGTCTATGGCCCTCAGTGGCAGCACCGCACGACAGTGGTTGGCGTGGATCCAAGTTGTCCTCTCCGCGACCTTAACGGCAGTGTCCGTCACCAGGAGGGCGAGGAATGGGCCGAGCCAGCGCTTGGACCGCCAATGCTTTCGTCTCGTTTCCTTCATCAGGACCCAGTCGCCTGCGCAGCCTGTGGCAGGGCGCTCCTGACCTGGGCAGAAATAGAGGACAAAAGTGCATTAATTTCCTTACAATAGGACAGCATGTCGTCATCACACAAAGAGGTGCTTGGCAGATCTCTGTTCGGGGGTCCCGCGCCCAACGTGGGGCTAGCGGCAGAGCTTTGAGTGCCATTCTCTCGCTCGCACGCGCCTCCGGACCAGGGGGCGTAACTGCAGTGTTTACGTATATCAGTGCCCAGAAATTCACCCACTTCCTCAATGACTTTTGCTACAAAGTGACTCACCACCGCGTTGCTCGTGGCGTGTATGCCTGCAAATACTTCAGTCCATTTGGACCAGAGATCCGCCAGACCCAGACAGTATTACTTACCT